CTCTCTCTCTCTCTCTCTCTCTCTCTCTCTCTCACACACACACACACACACACACACACACACACACACACACACTAGCTAGCTAGCACCACATTACCGTAGCACGCGCGCTCAAGGAAGCGAAAGCGGGAATGCGAGAGAGAGGGAGAGAGGAGGACAAGGGGGAAGAAGCAAGAGAGGATAGACAGAAAGAGGGGCAAGGGATGCGGCAGGATGCCCCAGCGCGCTATACACTTGGACCGGGCACACCATCACCCATCTACGTAGCCCTCGTGAGTTGAACTCTCTCAAGGCAATTACTAATACATTAGTCAATTGATTGATCCATTGCTTATGAGGTACTGGTCATAATGCTCAGATGGTTCGTTCCCCACGTTCTATTCTGTGTTCACCAACAATTGATTAATGCATTCATTGGCGGCTTCATTCTCCCTAGTCAGCGTCGATCACAAGCGCCTCAGATCTCCCTTTAACCCATTCCGTACCTGGAATGCCGCTAACGGATAGCGGGTGAGAGAGAAGCGACAGAGTTACTCGGAAGAAAAACGCAGCGCCACCAGGACCATGCGCCTGCCGGCGCTAGCCCCTCGCCTGCTCCATATCAGAATATGCAAACGTACTGCACTCCCGGCTGCTCCCTCGCAACATGCTACCCCACTCTTCATTGCCCCCTTACCGGAGCCGCATCGTTGAGGCGATCGACGTCCTCCCTCCTGGTTGAGAGGCAGGCACCCTCGGGAGACCGGTCAAGGGCCGGCACAAAACTCGCCCCGTCGGCACATACGGCTTCGCGCACGCACTCAGATGCGGATCAGATCTGATCCTCCCATGGACCAGCCGTCGCTTTTCCTCAGTTCTCGAGCGGGAAGTAGAGTGATGGCAGCCACTTTAATCACTGGCGTCACCCTTTTATCTCCTCCCTCATCCATTTCGTCACAGCCCGAACTTCCGCACATCAAGTCTGCAAACGATATCGGCTTTCCTGTCATCGCGCATGCTCGTCACGGGCCGTCGAAGCCTGACTGTCTGGGTCACCACTCCTCTCTTCGCTTGCTCCCTTCTTTCCACCCCTCCTCTCCTTGTTCCACTCCTCTCCTCACCTCTACTCTCATAGCAGTGCCGACAAACTCGATGCGAACTGGGAGCTGATCGGCCAGTCTGCCAGACAGGTCAATTCTGAGGAGGGGGGCAAAGCGCAGCGTAACTGGGCGGAGAATGTCCATGTCCGTACTCTGACTTTCCTTTTTCCGCCGGTGAGAAAACGGGGAAACCAAAAAAAAAAAAACCCCCCCCCCCCCCCCCCGCCAAAAAAAAAGGAAAAATACGGAAATGGGAAGCCTGCCTTTCAAATGTTTTACCTCCCTGCCACTGTACTCGAGATGCCACGCATCCGTCACGCGCGCGTGTCTGGGTTTTTTTATGCGTGTCATCCTTGCGCAGGGTCTATGCGCGTCTTCCGGGATGGAATCAGTGCATACTCACACTACTCTTCTCTGTATGGATGTCCCGATGGACCGCCTGCGTCTCCTGTGGGATGGAATGCCCACACTACCCAAGGACCTTCCTCGATGTATGTATATGACCGCAATTACAGGCCCCGCTGGATGTACTTCACTGCAAACTTCAAGAAAATAACGGCGACGCCGTACTCTTGCTGGACATTATAGGGTCTGAAGTTCAGCACATAAAGTCTGCACTTGAGATGATAGGGTCTGAAAAGCGGGACGTCACCGTACTCTTTCTTTTCTTTTTTCATCTTTTTCTTTTTCAAAAGTCCAGGGTGTTATAGGGGTCTGGCTGCTACGGGGTTCCCCGTATGCCTACAATTAGGAGTAGTGGTAGGTAGGTAGTGTGAGGTGAAATTGAGAGAAGAACAGAAAAGAAAAACAAAGAGGTCTGGACCCACGATATGTACCTATCTGAAGTCAGCAACTGATTTTATTTATTTATGGGAAGTAGACCATCCTGTCTTGGAGGATCCCCCTCAGACAGCCCTTACTGCAGGTTCCCCAACAATTTCCTCCACCAGAGTCTGTCTACTAACACCCCTCCTACCAGTACACGGCCGCAGCCTTGCTGAAAAGAAAGCTTGTCGCCTAAGAAACTTTTGGAGGGCCAGCGCCGTGGATAAATTGAATCGGCGGCAGTGTCGGTGCGAATACCCTGACAAGGGTATCCGCCCTAGTTTTTGCAAGTAACAGGAAGTAAGTTTGAAAATCTAAGTATACCGCGCGAGTCGCGGCTAAGTCTGTTTGGTTGCATAAGGTAGGATGATGGATTGGGGTAAAGCGTGAGTGGGCGCGCAGTCTTGAGGCGCGTGTGTGTTCCCACCGTTTGATTAGGCAGCCAGCTTAGTTGGCCGGCCTGATTTTCTTTTCTTTATTATTAGGAATAAAAGGTGTTTTTACTCAAATTGGTGGGTCACTGGTAGGCCGGCTTACGAGGTTTTGGCGTGTGTTGAGGCCACGGCATAATAGGTACTAGCCAGCGTGGATGCCTAGCGACAGCGGGCGCATAGCTAAAAGAAGGAATGAGGGCCGGGCTAAATCCTAGACCTAGGGGCTGCGCAGCACTAACCCGCGCGAGCTGGTACCAGGCTTGGGCTTACCCCTATAGGTTACGGTATCCGACTTTCACGGCGGAGATACGGGGGTCGAGGCCAGCAGGCGGCACGAGGGAGCGGCGGAATTATACGAAGGAAAACTGATGGGTTGAGGGCCCAAGGGAGGGGCTATCCCCATCAGTTTTGTTGGCTGGTGCAACGACGGGTCCGTCACAGTGCTGGCAGAAGTACCAGTAGTCCCTCGTCCCCACCTCAATTTTATGAATTTGTAGTTTTATTTTTATTATTATTGTTTTCTCCTCTTTCCTTGTTTTAGTTTCATTTATTCTTCCAGTCCCGCTGGGGGCTCGGTACTGTGACTGAGTTACGACTCAAGAGCCTAGCTCAGCAGATACACCCGTGAACTGCTGAAATACAGACCCGAATTTGAATCCATGTGGTGGGATTCGATGAGCAGAATCGAGCGTCCGGAACCGTCTGGGACCACTCAGGCTGTGAATGGACGTGGGGAGCTGCCCTGGTAGAGGTCCTTCGGGACATCCGTTAAAATTGGAACGGTACAGAGAAGATTAGCATGGCCCCTGCGCAAGAATGACACGCATAAATCACAAAGCCCCCGGGCCCCTTGGCTCTTTGTGCGAATGTCGGTTGAGGTGACCGCCTGCCCATTTTACTAACGGGACGTCCGCCGGAAGACCGCGCTACGGGCCGTGCATGAAGAACTGTGTCAGGAGCCAGGACGTGGGGTGACAAGGGAAAGTTGGGGAGTGGCCGGCTGCTGCGTTAGCAACTGGGAGACGGCGACGAGTCTGGCCAGTGAGAGACAAAGGAATCCGGACGCTGTAGTGCGCCAAGTGCAGTCGGCAGGAGAGGAAACGAGGAGGATGAGGTGAGAACTCGGGCGCGGCAGAGGAGTAAGAGCGCGGCCAGTTGGGGAAGAAGGAGGGGAAGGAGAGAGAGGACCCGGGGGAGTTGACCACGGGCGGACACGAATAGGAGGTCAGTTCAAGGGGAAAGTTAGTAAGTCAGGAGTTGGTGAGGGAAGGACGTGCGCGGAGGTGGTGGAAGGGATGAGCATGATGACGGAGAAGGAGATGAGCTACGCCCATTCCTCGATGGAAACGCGCAAATAAAGGCTCATTTCTAAGGGTCGGGATTGGGGCGAAACCGGTAGTCAAAGTTAGGAAGGACGAAGAGTGAGTAAAAGAGGAATTAGTAGAGAAACGACTGCGCGAAGGGGTGACAGGAAATGCCTATGGCAGGAAGGAAGAAAATGTAGAAAGGGATCGATTTCGCCCGTTAGTAGATGAAAACTGGCAAGGGAAGAGGTGGTATAAGGGTTATTATGGCGGGCGACCACGAAGTTACTGTTAGACTAGGTAGTAGTTAGTAGAGTTAGAAGGTTAGTAAGAAAGAGGCTGCGTGGATATGTCGACCCGTTGGTTATGACAGAGCGAAGAAGACAAGTTCTCGCCTGATCCCTGAGGGAATCAGGCGAATCAAGGATCGAGGTTGGGATTTTGAGGCCTTGCGAGGAGGATGGGCGCGGTTGATTCTTTATCTAAGGAATAGATTGGGCTATATGGCGAATGGGAGCTGTGCCGAGAAGAGAGAGGGGTTAGCGAGGTGCAAATGCACCTAGTCGTGTTTTAGCAAAAAGGGGGATCCGCCCGTATCTTACCGGTATAACCGGTCGGGCCGATGCCTTCGTATCCGTTCGGCTACGGCTCATCGAGATACCGGGCCCCTTTCCCACTGATCACCAATCGTTCCGGATACTGTCTTTACTCCGCAGGTATTCTCCTTCCCGTCTCGGGCTCTGAACGGGCTCGACATAGTGGGCGGCCAAAGTGAAGAAGGAGGGGAGGCTGGCGATGAGAGGCGCCAACCTGATAATTACGAACCCAGTAGTAAAGCAGAATCCGAAGGTTAGGAGATAGTCTAGCGACATGACTAAGGAGCAATGAAGTTCAAATGTATCTTTCCCGGTTTAAAGGGAAGACCGCTCTCCTCTTCCTCGGTTGTGTTCTTTCCCACTTCGTCACTATAACTATTGTTTGAACGAAGCAGATCTCAATAACTGCATACATCGGGTGAACGGGGGAGAGGATTCGTAGTCCCTATCTAGTAAGACGGTTGGTGGTAGCTGGGGGCTTGTCATGTTTGCCCCCGCTTCTTACAGGTGGTTGCTTTGGATTGTGAGCGCCTCAACGCCCATAGCTCACGTATAACTGGGTGCGTGAACCTGGTCGGGCAGGTTGGCTGGCTGTACGGGTAGCGAGGAGGGAGTTGTGGTCGAACTACTTACCGTATTGTCTGATTCGCCGTTGGGGCTACCGAGTGATTGCATGAGCCGGCTGTGAGGGTAGTATTCCCACCTGTTGGACGGTCAGGGGAACTGTGAGAAAGATACAACTGGAGAAGAGGGGAACGAGTGACCTACTTTGATGTTGCTGGGCTCCGCTGGGTCTTGCTACAGTATGGTGTGCGGTTGAGGTTATAAGACTGTGGTATCACAGATTCGCTGCACATGCTGCATGCGCACGACTACTGCGTGAGTGGCAAACCGTCTGAGTTCCTTCGGATAAAGCGCAAAGGGTATACCCTACCCGAACGCAGTTTTTATAGACTATGTTACTGATGAGTCTATGAATTGTGGCTACTGCTGACGGTTGCCTGACTGCTGGCCACCACTAGGATCCGCTGCTGCATACCGCGGACTGGTGCATACCGATGAGTACTGTTGCGGGTTACAAAAGACTATCACCGAGCATTGTTGGGAGTTGCTGAGTACTGTGCACAAATGTCTGCCGCCTGCGATTGATCACCGCGGACTGTTATTATTGTCGTAGACCACCACTGTATGCTGCTACTGGTGGACTGTATGCTACTACTGAGGACTGTGCTACTGTTGTGTTCGGTGGCTTGGCGAGAACAGTTGTCGTTGTCGTTTGGTTGAGTACAGACTGCTACTGCGGTTGTTGGCCACTGCGATCTGCGGCTGCCATCATTGACTGGACACTGCTGCTGGCTTTGACTACGCAGACTGTTGCCATAGCTGTTGACCACCATTGCGTTATATTGCTGCAGTTACTATTGGACACCGGTAGATGCTGCTATTAGTGACAACGGCTGCTGCTGTTGACCGGGCACAGACGACGGCTGCATACTGTTACCAACTGTTGGATGGCTGCAATCGAGTTGAGGAGGGGTGGTGCGACTTGGAGAGGTGTTGAGGCTTGAGGAGGTGGTCAGGCAGGACGAGTAGGAGGTTAATGCGGCGATTTCGGAGGTCGTCAGGGGGTTGACCTTGTCAGTTCTACTTCAAAAGTTGAAGAAGCTGTTACATTGGCCTGCCATTGCAGGGCCCTCAGGCGATTGAAGATAACAAGGCCCTCTCTCACGAGTCTGAGTGCACCCTCCTTGGATCTGAGAGTCTCAAACCTTTCTACATTCTGCCTTACTCTAAGTCTAGTTTGTTCGTTACGAGAGGAAGGCGGAAGGTGGGATGGCAACCCGTAGGACCGCAACAAGACTCTGTGGGGAGTCATCCCACCGATTGCGGGAGCTCTGTCGGAACCTAGGCGAGGTTCTGGAGGCAGGGAACCATCAGGTAAACTATTTCTATCTGTATACCCCACTACACCCATGCTTGCATATCCCCCTATAGCTTGATTGATGTATGCATGTCTGTCCCTATGACATTTGCTTTCTATTCAGGACATAACCAGACTAAGTAAAGGAATGCATGTATAAAGTCAGTTTCAGTTTTATTACTTGACTGAAAGCAGATTGTGGGATTGCATCTGGGGGGAAGGGTGGGAGAAAGGTCGTATTGCATGAAGTTTGACTGGGTCAACCAAAGGCTGGGCCAGTTCCATAAGTTTGGGAAGGCCCAGTGCTGTGTTTTATTTTGTATTGCTTGGAGAACCAGACATGTTCCATAAGTTTGGGTGGTCTGGTTGCACTGACTTGAGAGGGATGACTGCGATTGCTTTTTCAGGGACCAAGCATGTTCCATAAGTTTGGGTGGCTTGGTCGCCTTGTTTCCTTGGGGTTTTGTCAGTTTCTTTAGTTTCTGAACGAGGATGTCTGAGCATGTTCCATAAGTTTGGGTGACTCAACCTCTGCCTGCTTTGGCTTTAAGGCAAATGAACCGGGCTAAGGACCGAGACATGTTCCATAAGTTTGGGTGTTCTTGGTCCAATGCCTCGCACATGCTGGAACCATAAGGTTATAACTTTGTTATACTTTACTATTATACCATCTATGAACAGGCTAGTCAGACAGGGTTCAATAAGTTTGGGTGGTCTGACTATAGCTTATCACCAACTGAAGGGAGTATTAACTAAGAATAAACTTGGCGTACGAAGGGGCAGACTGAGTCTTGAGCTGAAGATGATCGGCTCAGTTATATGCTACCTTAAAAGACTAAGTGCAGACAAATTATATAAACTTTGGATACTTAAACAATTCGGGGCGACTAGGGTGACCTAGTCACATGCCCTAAGAAGAGAAAAATTGTTGTGCCCTGTGTTTGTGTATACTTCATGGCGGGGCTAGACATATTCCATAAGTTTGGGTGGTCTAGCCTTATGCCCTATGTAAGCTGGGTATAAGGGAGTAAATCATTGAAAGACTATGAACTATTGTTTGTTAAATTGACTTGGGGATGGTGAGAGTACTTACTTTTGTGGTTTGGTCTGCATGTGACTGAGTGATGTCACTACTTAGTCTGAGTTTCAGTTGATAGGTAGTTGCTTTGGTTGCTCGCCACGTGCTAGAGCCATAGGAGTTAGTCTCAATTCCTGCATTTTCTTGAGCTGAGATTTTTTTACTTATATTAATTTCTGCATTTTCTGGGATTTTTTATTATACTTTGGTCTTGTATAAATTTTGGTAAGTCACTTTCCCTACGGGGAGCGCTGCCGAAATTTCTACAAAACCAAAGAGTTAGTCAAACTTTGTCTTTTTTAGAATCCAGTATTTTTTGACTTTTTAACTTAGTATAAATCTGGAAAGCCTCCTCTTCTAAACGAAGTGCTGCCGAAATTTTTGCGAAGTTCAGGAAGTTAAACAAAATTGGACCTGGGAAAGTCAAAGTCATTTCAGATGCTGGACTTGGCTTTGTATAAATCTTGGAATGACACTTCCCCTACGGGAAGCGCTGCCGGAATTTCTACAAATCTAAGGAGATGGTTAAAATTATCTCTTAGCAGAACCCAGACTTTATGTTTCAGTTCATATCTGACTTGGTATGAATCTGGATAGTCTTCCTTTCTAAAGGAAGTGCTGCCCAAATTTTTACTAATTAAGGGAGTTAGACAAATTTTGGTTTGCTAGAATCCAAAGGTTTGACTTTTGGGCTAGTATAAATTCTGCGATGACACTTTTCCTACGGGAAGCGCTGTCGAAATTTTCCTAAATTTAGAGGAGTTAGGTTATATTTCGACAGGTGGCGACGTCTAGAGGGTTATGCTATGTAGGGGAGACTATGCCAAGGTCTACCTTTGCTTGGGCACTGTTTAGAGGTGGAGTTAGGCTTAGTTAAGTAGGATGATGTGAGTGAGATCGTGACATGGAGACTATTCAAAGGTTTGACTTTTGAGCTAGTATAAATTCTGCGATGACAGTTTTCCTACGGAAAGCGCTGCCGAAATTTCCCTAAATTTAGAGGAGTTAGGTTATATTTCGACAGGTGGCGACGTCTAGAGGGTTATGCTATGCAAGGGAGACTATGTCAAGGTCTACCTTTGCTTGGACACTGTTTAGAGGTGGACTTAGGCTTAGTTAAGTAGGATGATGTGAGTGAGATCGTGACATGGAGACTATTCTCCATGAGCTAATAGACTTAGCTTGAGATTGGTCTGTCTTGTGTTACAGGTCTCCTTGATCGATTGATTCAGGACTTGGGCTAGATTCAGCTTGATCCTACGAGGATCACCTTCTGTTATCACTGATAACGGGTCGGTTGCCAATTCGTCGGTTTACGACTCAGTTCCAACTCACCCTCCATACTCAACCTAAAAAGGCTTTAGCCCTGGTGATTTTTATTATTTTGTCAAGGTTTCACCCGGACTTTTATTGAATGGTCATTTAACAAAGGTACTGAGTATTTAATTATGGTTGGTTGGCTGGAGGTTGGGGCTTGCATGGCTAAAATGAGGGGTATGAGTACAAAGAGTGGTTGGGGTTGACTCCGTGTAGTGAGTGGACTTTGTTGGACTTTTGATGTGATTGCAGGTATGTTCTGTGGTTCGGATTTTGGATTTGACTGCCTGCGATCACACCTATACATATGGTTGTGAGGAGCCCCACTGTGATTGTGAGAAGTGATCGTCACATATTTATGCCCTTTATATATTATATATATATATATATATATATATAACGTGTGTGCCTATGTTGAGAGTTCGCATGGTCCAAGGGCCCAACGTATTAAGGGTTAAATAGGGGTGAGGTAAGCAGAAAACCCCTTCCCGTCGATTGTATAATTTTTCTGATTTCTTGGTCGGACGTTGGTTCTGGGCCGGGATTCAAGGTCCTTGTCCATGACACCCCAAGCCCTAGGCGCTACAGAGAAGAAGCCTTCCCTCGCGCAGAGCCTATCTGCCCCGCCCGCCGAGACACCCAACCCAGAGGGGAGAGATGCCGCGGGGGCTGAACGACATGTCCTTCAACCGTTCAATATCGTGAGGGGTAACCCCTCACGATATATTCCTTCAGCCATTCAATATCTCGAGGCCGCAACTGCGATCACCGCGTATGACTAGCATCACTGACCGGTATAGGACAGGCCTGCAACCGCGCAACTTTATATCAAAAGTTTTGCGCGCGACGTTTCGCCGTCCTAGTGACTACAGTTATGGGAACACTGGATTCATACGTGTGCCTAAGTGTTCGGCAGTGGTGTAGGCTGTGTTGCCGACCAAAAGAAAAATGGGGGTACCCAAGTCGTGATTTCGGGGCGGGGCAACCGTCAAAGTCAAACCCCTTGACTTCTGTCCAGGCCTTGAGTGGGGCTCATCTCCAGGGCCGTAAGAAACGACCGCCACCACAAATAGGGACCTGTGTACCACGCACTCTGCACAGGGTGCGGAAGAGGGTGTGTGGTCTTCAACCTCGCATGGCGGTTGTCTAGCGCCGAGAGATTAACCCCTCGAGGCGCTTGTCAGCCGACACTTGAGTGTCAAAGGTGACCCTCGATTATTACCCAGGGCCTCATGATTATGGGTACTACATAGTACACCATCTTCACGACTGCTTGCGTACGTTGGCATTGCAAATCGATATGAGAAGGCCCTGCGCCCGCGCGGGTTTATACCAAGTCTCGCGCGTGACGCCTAACCGATTTCCGCGTTAGAAAGTTATGGGAAGGCTACCGAGGGACTAGGAGCGTTGTCGCGTTGTTTGTTCAGTGTTGTTCTGTATATGTACATGTACGTGTGTGTGCGTGCCTTTTATTGTTATGTTCTTTATAGTGGTGTGCGCGTGGCGTGTGGGATGCGTCCCAATCGACCGGCGACGAGTCTCGCTTGGGACCCCAGCCCCCCAAGGTGTCGGTTTGCGTGCGGGTTTGATAGAGGCGTAATACCGCGCGTACCCCCTATGCTACAACGAACGAGAAACGCCCTCGGCTGGTTCACCTCTGCGATTGCAGCTGATTAGCTTTCGTACTGTGGACAGGTAGCTCGACAGGGATACGCCCACCGAAGGGAGGTGACAACTCCTGTAAGGTGGAGGTAAGTCGTGCCTCGCGTAGGCCCTATCCTGTCGTAGGGGCTCGCGAGAGGTATGGCTGGCGCACTCGGCCAGAGCGGCTTGCGGAAGCTCCATGTATGTATCGCGACGAGGATTAAAATTCCAACTCTTGCGTGACGTGGCCGGGAGGGTCCCGCGCTACCCCTGAGTAGTGCCGGACCGATGCGCTCGACAGCGGGAGGCCTCCGAAAAGGACCACCAGTCCCCCCTCCGGCCTAAACCCTCAAGCTACCGGTAGGCCTGCATCGACCTGTTTTTTGTTGGTACAGCGGTTGTTCGCTGCGTACCGGGTCCTGGTTCGATTCGTGGTACCATCATGAAACAGTCGGCACTCCACAGCGTGATGTTCGAGCTGTTCCCCCCGGACATCGAAGTGACTGCCCAGACCAATTTTCCCATTTTTTTTAAATACGAAAAATGTTGAGTAATTTGTTTTTCGTGATTTTTTTATTTTTGTAATTACATTTTTTTGTCTTATTTCTTTTTATTTTCACATTACTGCTTGCCGCCGGGAAAAGGACGCCATCGTTTCAGGTCTGACGCTCAGCCTCGTGTCCTGTCGCCATCCCCTGTTGAAATGCCACGGATGGGTGACTGGTCTTCGTCCACGTGTAACTTTCCCACGTGGCGTCGTATCATCGCGGACAAAACCGTGCAGCTGGCCATCCGTTGCGACCCCCCACCTCCTTCGCGCCCCCCACCTCCTTCGCGCCCCCCGGCGTTGTACCCATCCGATATGGCGACCCTATCTCGGACGGCTGACGTGGTAGGGACGTTATCTGCTGCTACCGATGTCCGTGTCGATAAGGTGCGACATCGTCGTCTGTCTGTCTGCCTCTCTCTCTCTCTCTCTCTCTCTCTCTCTCTCTCTCTCTCTCTCTCTCTCTCTCTCTCTCTCTCTCTATCTATCTATCTATCTATCTATCTATC